CCCAGCTTTTAATTCATCTGTTTTTCTTTTTCTTTTTTTTGGTCTTTTTGAGATGAGGTCTCTCTGTAGCCTCAGCTGGCCTGGAACTCCCTATGTAGACCAGGCTGAGCTTGAACTCACAGGATCCGCTTGCCTCTGCCTTCCAAGTGCTGGGACTAAAGGTATTTACCACCATGCCCAGCCCTAAAAAGTATTTTTTTAAAAAAGAGATCCTAATATGAAGAAACTAAAACTGATTGGAGATAAACATGAACTGGTTCTATCTTCCCTGTAACTATCTCTGACATCCTTACATATGCTGAGAATTCTAGTGAGTCTGTAGTTCTAGTTTACCTTCTCTTCTCCCTGGGCTCTGGGACCAGTGATCCCAAGGAGGCTTTGTATTCTCTTCTGCTTGGCAACAGGATGGTTTGGGCCAGGTGTACGCCTAGCATCCATTCTGCCTGGCAAAACCCCATTTGCCTCAAGCTGCAATTTGAGTCTTCCCGCCTGGTCACCACGAAAAGCTACGTGAGCAGCTGTGCAAGCATGACACAAAGTGCTAACAGTTAACTACATTTTGGGGCTCCCTATCTTTGGGTCTACTTGCATGTTCTGTATATTAACTGGGTCAGCATGGAACCATGAGATATAGGACAAGAGGGGCCCTACTAACACTCACCTCCTGTGCCCTGCTCGGTGCCTGGACATGTGAATCTCTTACATTTTGGAATCGGAGCTGAAAGGATGGAGCTGAAAAGGCTGGAGATGGGCAGGAGCACATGACTGTGACATTGGCAGGTTCCTCCACTAGATGGCACTCACAACATTATTCTTCCTCATTTGCTAAAAATTGGCACTTTCTTTGGGTTAAAGGGCACAATTAGATCTATGATTTAAACTTATGCTTGATGGTCGGATGCATGATCAACACATTTCCAAGACTTAGGAAGTTTTTCTTACTCTTGGGGGGATGGAAATACCCAGTGGGGAACGAGGGAGTGTCACAGGCTCCCGCCTTGCCTGTGGTGCCTGTTAGGACACCCCATCAATGAGTGTCCCCTCCCCCCACCCCCCATCCTGACACTGATTCCTGGGGCACTGACCCAAAGCTTCAGTGTTAGGCTTCTTTCTACTCTTTTTAGCTCTCTATGCCCAGGACCTATCACTCAGGCACCTTTGGAATTGTGGGGAAGCCCTCTGGGTCGCCTGGCTGCACAGACCACTTCTCCCTGACTCAACCTGTGGTTCATTCCCTTCAGTGCTGGGAGACACCAACATGGCTCTTCCAGCCACACTTCCTGCTCCTGCCCCAAAGTAACTAGCCTCAACCTAGTAAGTAAGCTGTTTGCCCTGCCTTGAGCTCAGGATGACAATGTTCCTTGATTCTTTATAGGCAGAGACTATGTCCCACTCCCCTCTAGGCCGTGGAGGCCAGCTCAAGACTGGGACGCACCAAAAGTTACTAAGATTTAAGTGAACAGGCTCCTTGAACTTCCTGTGATGGCTGCTGTGGCTTAAGGTGGGGTTACTCAACCCCCAACTTCGTTCCTTCCTTCCTTGCCCAAGCTTGCATCAAAATCGCAGTCCTCCTGCCTCAGCTGCTCAACAACTGGGATTACTGGTGCTTACCACCATGCTGGGCCTCAACCTTATTACTGTCTTTCTTACTTCCTTTTCCAGACACAACAAGGCCCACAACTGGAGACTCTGTTGGGCACTATGGGCACATAAAGCTCAGCCTCGGGCAGGCTGATCTGGGAAGTCCAGAGCCTCTACCTACCAGCTGATGGACCTCAGGCAAGTTCATCTAACCTCTCTGAGCCGTCACACTCCCGTGCGCTATGAAGGGAATGGAACATAGCAGTTGCACACAGCTAGTTCCTCCTGAGTCCCATGGGACCAGACTGGTAGGAAACTTTGAGAATGCAGAGCCCCTGGACAGACAGGAAATGAGTCAGCAGGCCCCCACCAGCACTGAGCTGAGTTCTTTCTGCAGGTGAATGCTCAGTGCTTTACTGAACGATCTCTCACTGCCTACCACCTCTTCCGCTTTCCCAGAGTGACCTGAGCAGCCACTTGCTTCCATCTGAAGCCTCAGGAGGTGCTGTGTGGCTAAGGAAGGAGAACAGATGGGTTGCTCTGAAAGCCACATGCAATGGGTACTCAGCCAGGCCATGGCTGCTGTGTTGGGAAAAATGGATACTTAAGCTTCCCTTCCCGAGACCAGGCCCTGAAAGATCTGGACTGGGCTCAGAGGGGACTGGGCTCAGAGGGGCCAGGCACTTGTGCTCCAGGTCAGCCTGTGTATGGCTAGGGCAGCCAGATGGCATGGATTCAGGTCTGCTGTGGTTTTAATGTCCCCCACCCTCCATGCTCATGCTGAAATTTAATGCCCATCGTGAGTCATTTTGAGGTGGCTCCCAAGAGGCGATCCAGGCCTGGAAGCCTCTGCCAATCCACTCATGGATTACTGGATTATCATCTGTCATAGAAGCCAGTTTGGCCCTGCTTTGTATCTGCTCCCCTTTTGCAAAGTGATGTCTTGCAATGCTCTAGGAGTCTGAAGATTCTCCACCTCTGAGAAAGCCCTCACTAGATGTGGCCCCGTCACTTTGGACCTTTTGGTCCCCAGAACCATGATCTGAGCATACCTTTCTTCTTTCTATTTTCACAAATTTTAGTTTATTTTAATCATTTTGTGTGTATGCATGTGTGTGTGTGTGTGTGTGTGTGTGTGTGTGTGCCTGCCATGGTGTGCATATGTGTGGAGGTCAGAGGCTAACACTCCAGGGTTGGTTTTCTCTTGCTAATTTATGAGATTCCAGGATTGAACTCAGGTTATCAGGCCTGCATACATGCACCTCTGCCTGCTAAGCCATCTCACCAGCCCACCTTTATTGTTTATAAAACCCCTAATCTGTAGAATTCAGTTGTAGCACAGAAAATGGAGTAAGGCTCTAGCTCCACTCCTAGCCTGTTATATGCCACTTTCTAATCCTGAGTTCGTTTTTGAAAAATGGGTATAAGCACATTACCTGCCTTAGAGAAGTGTTCTGAGTATTGTGATAGGCAGAAAATGGCTCATAAAAAAGTTCATGTCCTAATCCCCAGGGCCTTGTGAATATATTACCTTATGTGACAAAGGCTCACCCTTCCATAGTTGAAGAAATTCTTATAAATCCCTCTGACTGGGACTGGAGAGATGGCTCAGTGATTAAGAGCACTAACTGCTCTTGCAGAGGACTGGGATTCAGTTCCCAACATTCATATGGCAGCTAACAACCATCTCTAGCTCCAGTTCCAGAGGATCTGACACCCTCTTCTGGCCTCCATGGGCATTGCATGACATGGGTATACTTACATACACACAGGCAAAACACTTATAAAATAAAAATAAATTTTAAAAAACAGCTCTGGGGCTGGAGAGATGGCTCAGCTTTTAACACTGGCTGCTTTTGCAGAGGACCCAGGTTTGAATTCCAGTGGCTAACAATTGTCTATAACTCTAGTTCTTAAGGATCTGACACCCTCTTCTGACCTCTGTGGGCATTGCATGTGGATGCACTTACATATATTCAGGCAATACACTCATATACAAAATAAAAATAATAAATGAAATATCTGATCTAGATTATGAGCATTCATACTGCGACACCCTGACTTTTGGGGGACACATGCTCAGTGCCTTTTCGCAACTAGGCAATTGAGAAAAAGAAATTTTTTTTTTGAGTCAGAATCTCGCTATGTAACTCTGGCTGGCCTGGAACTCAGATCCTCCCGCCTCTGCCTGGCTAGTGCTGGAATCAAAGGCCTGTGCCATCACACCCATCTAGAACTCTGTCTATGCTTCCCAAAGTCCTCAGTATAGACAGGGCAAAGGTGGCCCTGCCCCAGCCTCAGGCTTACTCCTGCTCTTAGTGGCCCCAGCCTGGGCCAATCCACTCCTTGACGGGCAGTAATAGCTAGGTCATTTCTTCAAGGTGTATGGGGGTGTCCATGCCTCTTTGTGACTGTAAACTTACTGGCTCACAGATGCCCAGGGAAGATCTTGGATGCTCACTGCTTCTCAGAGAAAGTGTCTTACCTACTCCTCCGACACTCACCCTTCCCACCACACTGGTGGCCTCTTCCCTCAAGCATCTGTAACTGCCCCCAAAGACTTCTGCCTGCAGGCAGTTTGCTCCATGCAGAGGGCAGACCAGAAACACCAGAGTTAACTCCAAAGGGTGCATCTCCAAGGACCAGCTGGTGGGAGACACCGGAAAAGCCCCCAGCCGCCCATTTCTTGGGTAAGACACCTCTGAGGCCTACTCTGTACCAGCCCAGCTGTCCTCACTGGGATGGAGCTGGGTGTCACTAGCAACCCTGGCTGGCCTCCTTCTTTTGCCAGCTCCTTCCCTACTCCCTTCCCCATGCTTTGGGGCCGCCTGCCTCCAGAATAAATTGCCTAAATCCTCATCTCAGAATCTGTTTTTGGTGGAGGCCAAGAGAAATAAAACCCTGGCAAAGGCAGCCCTGCTATAACAGACAGCTCACCTGCTGGATACCCAGTTACAACTGCTTTATAAAACCTGGAACTGTAAAAAGCTGTTTTGCAACTGCTAACAGGATAACGGTTCCATGGGGGATTATTTCTCTCCTTCCATCGTATTGCAATTCTGATTCAGGATTCATGAAAAGTCTTATTTTGGCTTTCTGAGCCTTTATACCGTACTGTGAACCGATTTCATTCTATGTGTTTGCATCTCTACTGATGATTGGTTTATTTGCTTGGGTTTATTATGAATGTAAAAATCTACATTTTCTCTTACACAAGAGCTAAATATTCAGATAACATATTGGATTTTCTAATCCCGTCTTCCCAATTTTTCTAGATTTGGCCCACATTTCTGGCTTTGCTTGGAGACAATGCCAGTACTCCTGTAAGAAAAAGCATTGTAGGGGCAGAAGCACAGTGATACCCCGCCCTGGGGCCACTGGACCCCTTCAGCACACATCCACATGATGCCTGGGCCTACCTGGGCTGATCTCAAAGAGGTGTTTTCCTGGGTCCTCCGGGTCAGGAAGTAGTTCTGTCACCTGGGTCCCTTGTAGAGAAATAAATCCCTAAAATGGAGACAAACACAAACAAGAAACATGAGATGACTGGGAAAGAGCTCCTTGCAGCAGGAGGGTGGTGCTGGGACAGGGCTCAGCCCTTCAGGCCCTGGCAGGGCAGGCTGAGTGCCAAAGAGAAGTGTGTGCCTCCTTTCCAAGTATGGGACCAGGTACAGAGGAGGCCCCTATACTACCTACACACTTGGTTGGAAGCCTGGGAGGGCTCTTCCCTCAGGCAGGGCAAGAACTGCCCAGTGTAAGCAAGGAAAAATAAGTCTGGGGCTGGGAGATTGGCTCCTGCCACCCCTTACCTCCCCATTCCTGGGTCCACTGTGGTCTTTCTGGGCCAGTAGGATTCTGGGTATGGAGCTTGAGGGGGAAGAAGGCTATTGTGTCAAAGCCTCTGAGGTGACACAGACCTCAGACATGTGTGAGTCTAGTCTGCCATGGCCTGGCTGGGGAGATTTCATTTGTTTCTCTTCTTGGTTTTATCCATGTATTCAGTTAATTATGACTGTTACTATTGCAGTGCTGGGGACTGAACCCAGGGCTTCTTGTATTCTAGGCATGCCACTTAGCTATACCTCCAGCCTGAGGTTTGATTTCCTTTTATAAAAAATTGTATTTTATGTGTATGAGTGTTTTCCCTACGTGTACGTGTACCACATGCAGTGCCTGCACAGGCTAGAAGAGGATGTTGGATCCCCTGAAAGTGGAGTTAACTGCCATGTGTATGCTGGGAACCAAACCAGGGTCTTATACAAGAGCAGCTAGTGCTCTTAACCACTGAGTCATTTTTCAAGCTCCAGGTTTTACCTACTTGATGGTGTTACCACCATGTACAAAGTCACTGCCTGCATGGTGTCATGGGCCTGGTTAGGTGAGCACAGTCATACTCTAGAGTCCACAATTCTGGTGCCAAGACCCCTGGGATAATGTCCCTGAAGCTCAGTCTCTATGTCTGTACAACGGGACAATGACTCTCACTTCTCACTAGCGTTCCACAGGCCAGATTTCTGCTTGGTAAGTCCTACCAAGGAGATGAGGTATATCCCCACCCCGACACTACTCCCAGGCCAGGCAGGGTCCCCTCTGCTCTTCTGTGTGTCAGCGACTTCGATCTCTGCAGAGGACTTTCTTCATTACATGCGAGCTGTTTTGCTTAGCTTAGACTGTGTGGCTTGACTATACATACTTTGGTCCTCCCCATGGGAAACCATTTCAAACTCCATCCCTGCAGTCAGATTTATGGATTCAAATTCTGACTCAGCTTCAGGTAAATCGCTTCACTGCTGTGCCCCGCTTTCTTAGTCTGTGCAATAGGGGTGACACTAGTCTTTCGTGAGGCTGTTGAATATAAATGAATTAGTACCTGGGAAATCCTCAGAGCAGGGCCTGGAACACAGTGAGAACTTTGTGTTTGCTAACTAAATCTGCTATCATATCTAGGATTCACAACAGGAAGAGGAAGAGATCCCTGAGTCTGTTCTTGTCCAGGTGAGGGACACAGTCATCTACTTTGTCACCTTTGGTCCCTACTCCTGGACCTACTAGCAGATGCTCTTCTTCTGGGCCAGAGCTATTTTATTTCCATAGCTCATACCAACTACAAAAATGACTATTATTCCCACTGCACAGATAAGGAAACTGGGGCCAGAAAGGTGAAGCATTTACCTTAGCCGAATCAGGACAAATCCTGGCCATAGCAGGGTGATGGGCACCTCCATCACATCTGCTGGGCTCTGGGCTGCAGGGACACATGGAAATGCCTTTGCTTGTTTAAGCAATATCAAGGCACAGTGGCATCTCTACCCACAGATGCTTGCTCTAGGGAAATTACAGCAATAAGCTCGAGAGTCAGCTGCTAATTGTTCTAACTGAATTACTGGTTAGTTCTTGCTAGGAAACCTGAAGCTACTGGGAACAAATTAGGACAGCAGCCTCAGGATGCAGAAGGTATTCATTAGAGGGCGTGGGCCAGATCCATCACTGCATCTAGGCACTCGCTGTTTTGGTAACCATCTCTGTGGGATGCAGTACTTTGCTGTGTGTTTCCCCTTTGCTTCAGTAAGTGTTATCCGTAAAATGGGAGCAACAATATCTGCACTGACATTACTTTCTACTTTGGCTATGTTCCTGGCTCCTAGCCTAGATGATCGGATTTAATCTAGAAGCCCTGGGGTGGGGGGCGTTGGGTGCGGGGTTGGGGGGCGGTACACTACTGCCGTCTTCCTGGAGGTGGGAGAGGCTCCTGTGCTTTGTTGCTAATAAAGGCTGGGGTGTGGATTCTCTCCTTCCCCATTCTTCTTCCCGCCCGCTTTCCCACCTTTGTGACAGCAGCTGCCAGCTGATTTTGCTTCTAAGAAGCCGCCACGGGAGAGCCAGATTGAGACTTTGGGGTCCACTGTTCACTCTGCACTCTAGTGAATCCTAGTGTGGCCCCATCACTGCAAGTGGCCTTGGCACCAGGCTGTGGCTGTACCCCATAATGCCCCCCCTAGCCTTCTCAGAACTTGAGTGAGGCCTTAATCTCAGGACATTGGGTGGGTTAGAGTATGGTGGTCCCCAGAAGTCTGCTCTCCCTGATAAGTAGTGTGATGCTTGCTGACACTGTAGTGAAAATACTTGTAAGGAATCTGAGAAGCATCCAGTGAAGCAGCCTTGAACTTGCCTTTCAAGTTACCCCAGGGCTTGTTGAAATACAGAGATCCAGGCTGGTGTGGTTTAATGAGGAAGAAAACAAAGCGCCCTGGTTTCTAGTGTTTGCTAACCTCTGTGATAGACAGTCCCCCCTCCCCTCTACAGCTAATTTCATGATGTCACTGAAAGTGGAGTTGGGAAGAGATACACCACAGGGCGCAGAAAATGAAGTTAGGAAAGGGATCCAGATGCGCTCCGAGTTCTTACTGTTATTTTGACTATAATTTATTTAACTATGGGTTTGTATCATTTAGTTGCTAATCACGGAAGTGTCTGTTGAGATGAGCACTACATCCCACCCTGGAGTTTCTGATTCCGTAGTTCTGGAAAAAGTAGCCGAATTTGGATTTCTCATTAGTTTTCAATGTTGGTCCCAGGGAGAGTTTCTGAGAACCACTGGTCTAGTCAAAGGTTGGTGTCTTTTCTCTAGGTTAAAGCCTTACCTAAGTTCTCTCCCCTGTAAAATGGGAATAATGATAACATCTACTCCATGAGGCTGTGCTGAGGATGAGGATATAGACATTTGTTATCTGCCCCAGTGACTTGGAGTGTGGAGCCTTGGCAGAAATTCTGTGCTTTGGACACATGTGTCACAAATAGCGAGTCTCCACTTCTTCTCACACAGTACTCCAACTATAGAGGCCCTGGGATTTCCCTGGGGGGCCCCCAAATGAGCATTAGTAGGGCCCAGTTGACTTTCCTATAATAGTGCCAGGTCAGGATTTGTCTGGCTGGGCTATGAGATGGGACCAAGCCCTTGGATTGTACTGCGACTACATACTTTGCAGATGGCCTCTGGGCTAGCCATGAGTGTGCACAAGCTCCAAGCATACCAGGAGTTCCTGCAGAGGCTGGGCATTTCCCCCTTCCCCTGGGTGCAGACTCATGTGTTTCACTGTTGGAGGTTTGCTCAGCCTGTGTGTCTGAGCTCACCCCTAGAAGCTCAGCTGCCTTCACTCATCTCTAGCTCTACGCAGCTGCAGTCTAACTGATATAAGTGACTAATGAGCAAAGGACACACTTGCTATGTCTGTCTCCAGAAGGACTCTCTCTACTCCCAGGCCTGCTGCTGTCCTCACCACAGCACTCTCCCTGACTTCTGGGAATAGGCTCACCTGGGGGAGTACCCAGAGCACTTGGCCGAAAATTCTAGAAACTACACACAGAGAACAAAGCTCTGGGAAATGGGTAGGCAAGCCCAGTGAGGGGTTTTGGAGAGAGTATCTCATACATAACAGCAAATTAAAAGGCTGACTCAAAATTCATCACTTATATGGCATATTAAATGCAAACTCCAGAAGTCTGACATGGCTTAGTTGACTAGTCACAGCTTGGAGGCTTCTCTGAGGTGACAGTCAAAATTTTGGTTGAAGCTACAGAAACCTGAATACCAGAGATATGTTTCCAAGTTGGCTTCCTCAATGGGGCTACAAAACAGACCCAAGCTGTTGATGTACAAAACACAGTGTGTGAGTGACAAATACAGCGGGTGGAGTGAAGGTGATGTAGCAAGTGTGTCCTTTAAAGATTTGACATTGTAGAACAAAAGATCAGTGTACTTGGTACTAGAGAGATGGTTTAGTGGTTAAAAGCACTGGCTGCTCTTGCAGAGGTCCAGGGTTTGGTTTTCAGCACCCACATGGCAGCTAACAACCATCCATAACTACAGTTCCATGGACTCTCATGTCCTCTTCTGGCCTCCACGAGCATTGCACAAACATGGTGCACTTAGATACATGCAGGCAAGACAATCATACACATAAAATGTTAAAAAAGAAAAGATTAGTGAAATTGAAAACATAGCAATAGAAAGTATCCAGACAAGAACCTAGAGGAAAGATAATTTTTAAAGATGGGCAGAGGGCCTGGAGATGGAGTGCAGTTGATACAGTGCTTGTCTAGCATGCAGGAGACCCTGGTTTTGAGCCTCAGCACCACATAAAACTGGATGTGGTGGTACTTGTCTGTATTCCCAATACCTTGTGAGGTGGAGGCAGGAGTTTTAGAAGTTCAAGGTCATCCTTGACTAAGTAGTTTGAGGACAGCCTGTGCTACATGAGAGCCTGCTTCAAAAAAAAAATAAAGAGCTGGCATGATGGTACATGCCATTAGTCCCAGCACTTTGGAGGCAGAAGTAGGCAGGTCTCTATGAGACTGAGGCCGATCTGATCTATATAGTGAGTTCCAGGCCAGCTGGGGCTACAGGAAGAATCTGTCTCAAGAAGACCAAAATACATAAATAAATAAATAATAAATAAATAAATAAATAAATAAATAAAGCAGAGCATTAGTAAGATGTAGAACAATTT